TACTGTTCAATATTTAATACTTCCCCATGAATTTCTTTTGTAAAGTTTAGCTAAGTGTGAAAAGCAAAAGTCCCGTAGAGGGGAATGAGAGGCTAAGCATGAATGGCAGAGGGCAGCCGCGTGAATGTGAGAAGTAAAAAAGTGATGTCGCCTATTCTGTTCTGAAAGATGAGGAGTTTGATTCTTTTTTAAATCCAGTGGTTTAGAGTGTTGAAAGTAAGGCCAGAGGTACAAAAAAGACTTTTACCAACTTGGTTTTAGTGGTATGTGTTAACTCTTTTATGATAATCCTTAATACATGAACTCAATCAATACAACCTAAATGGATCAATGTGATACAATTCCAAGATCCGATTTGTTCATCCTGATCTGAAATAATGTTTATCTAATGATTTAATATGTACACACACAAATCACTCACAGCATTGTGGTTTTATAATATCAGCATTTCCAGGGGCTTGTAATTTTTTAGTTTTTGAAAAACTCATTTTGTATTCCACCCCTACATCTGAATTATTTAGCTCCAGTGCCATTTCTATTCTTAGTATTTTTACTAGTGTTTAGATGGCTGCAGACGAAGACTTAGCATGAAGTAAACACGATAAGCAGCATATTGTGTATGTTCATACAGATCATAAACAAATTCTTCTGGTTTGTGCATCACCTCAGTTCTTTCTTGTGAATATGAATGTTTAGTTATGTGCATGAGGACTTGTAATGAGTTATCATTTCCTTGGGCTAAAAGATGTGCAACATTAACTGTGAAATTAGAAAATGCAACATGTTCGTTCTATCTTTAACTTCAGACCTTCACACACAGCATCTGCCATTGTAGTACATTGTATGTGTGCACACTTACGTTTAAAACTACTGAAAGGTTTAAATTAGATAGTAATGTTTACCCGTTATTTTCCAGCCTGGAATAAATTTTCTCCAAGACAAAGAGGCTTGGATTAAATCAAGCTGGAAAGCAACAGTCTTGAAGGGAACATCAAAGGTTTTCACATGTCCCTCGGGTCTCTTCCACGAGCACCGATCAAAAATGCTGGGTGGGAATGTGCTTACAGTCTCCTATCCAGTGAAACTGATTTCATCCAGCCACGCCTCGTAGCCGAGAACTGCTAATCTCTCAAGTCTGAAATCGTTCTGAGAGAAGCAGCAGAAGAAGGACGAGTGGCAGTAGAGAAAAGGATTGGAAGGTAGAACTGAAATTGGCTGACATCTGGTGCATACTACTGCTGCAATCAATAAGCTTTCAAAGATGCAAATACATATTTGTTTTGTTAATTTTTTCTTTAATTTCAGTTGCTATGCAGTCTAGATTCCTTTTACTTTTATTCACCCAACAAATTTATCTCTGCAAGCAAATTACTCTTTTAAAAGTTCAGCTAGTTGATGCTTTGGTCTCATTTTTAAACAGACTCATTAGGATTGACACTGTTATGCTGTCATTGCTGTGGCAGCATCAGCAGAATTTTTAATGAATGATTAATAATTTACATGAATATGGCTTGTGCTTCATCTCCAAGCATCATAAATATGATTAATCAAATAAACTGAAATGTAATCATGAGCCACCAGATTATTCTGTTGACAGAGTCAATACTTAAATTCACATTAAAATACTGAACATTACTAATATTGAATTACAGAAAGGCAAATGAAAAGAAAGCAAGACATGTATTCTTAATTCTTATAATAGCATCTTGGAGTTCTTTGAGAGCTGAAGAGTCTGTGATTCCTGACAGACTATCAATATGTCATTTGAGGGTAATTGTGATGACAGAATCTAACAGTTACTTTTCACTTTCTGTCATTTTTTATATGTTTGCAAACCTCCTTTGGACTGAATTATTGATAAATAGCTGGCTGTTGCATGCTGAGTCTGAGAGAAGGGTAAAACATGGTCCGGATTCTTTCATAGACCGGCTACACAAATGCATACACCAAGAGTAGCTGTTCAGTACAAATTCGTTGAAAAATGTCTTCAAACACTGCTCTCTTTTTTAAAAATACAATATTAAAGATTTTCCATTTTGCTAATTTGGTTAAGTAAGCGTCATGGATTTTGTTTTTCTTGGCAAATTTTGAAGGAACCAAGTCTCATAACACACTTTAATATGTGGGCCTAGGTAAGCGTCATTGGTCTTCTGCTCATCCGAGATACTGTGATGCAAATCGGACAACACATTCATCCTCAGGGACTAAAAGAATCAGCACAAGTTCCCTTGAAGACATCACATACAAACTCACGCACACACACAATCCAAGTACAATGCATACACACACGCTCCTGCGTTTAGATCTCTGCCCTTGTTGTTCTTGAAGGACAGCTCTGAGAGATTTACTGCTGTCAGCTTCGAGGGAGAATTTAGTTTTCCCTTCAGAAAGAAAAGTCTGTCATCGCACTGGGATCAGGCAGGCTTGAATCATTACACCCATAATGAACATCAAATGGAATGAAATGAGGAACAAAAACTGGCTAGTGTGATTTGTACAAATTTCACCTCAGTTCATTTTTAATGCTTCACCAGCAACGCAAATAATCAATCTTATTTGCATACAGAGCAAGTGTAACAACTCATTATAGCTCTATTTATTTATTTTCTCCTCCCTCCCTCTCAGGCTCCGGGTTGTGAGTTGGGTCACAGAAATATTGATTTCACCCACACTTTCCGGGAACGCCTTTATTGACTGACTGCCACCAATAAATTGTTGATCGCTTGTTGATGAAAAGCCTTTGGGCTACAGTAAATCCTCCTAATAATGTGTCAATGCAGCTATTTTCTTGTGCGCTGTCAAAACCAAAGCACAGCCATGTATCACATTCTACATGCATAAGTGATTTGGTTAAACCCCGATCTTTCAAAATCCAACACCAGTCTATGGTGCTGCTGCTGTTGTTACCAGGGTTTTGCCATTGAAGTATGCAACCTTGTTATCAGATTCAGGCTGCCTGGCAGGCATAAAACACTGGCTGGCATGCTATGTTGGTTCTTGTTGTTGTTTTAACTAGCAAAGTAGCCTCCAGTCATTCAGCAGTGTCACTGGCAGAGAGAGCGTAATGGGAGAAGTATGCATTATGTGACACGGTTATGAATTTTTTTGTGTATGTGTGTGATTAATTATTACGGGGGGTTTTTTCTAGACAGATCTATCCAAGAGGACAACAGAAATCGCAACAAATTTGACATAACAGCTCTATAAATAAGTCTGGATTAAAAATAATGCAGAAAACAGAGTAGATGCAGTAATAAAGACTCATGAGAATGTTTGCAAAACAGTAATATTCTTTAATATGTATAAATTTAGCACAAAAAGTAAGGCAATTTGTGTTTGGTTCAATACTTCATTCTTGTAACAATGCTCCTTGCAAATTAATCTTATATCATTGGAAAGCCTGTTTATGTCCCCTTTAAATGATGCCACAATTGTAAGAAAAATGCATTTGTGGGTTGAGCAGCATAGCTAAGTAAATGGACTGGGCCCCTGAAAAACAGATTTTCTCTGCCAAATGCATTTTCCTTACAAATGAGATGACATCCACAGTGGTGCATGACCTGTACGACACCTGCTGCGACCAGGCCATATTTCACCCACGCTTAAAATTTGTATTATTTTATTTATCACGTAAGATATATTATATATTATCACGTTGATATAAGTTGGCTTAAGAACTGAGGCTAAAATGCAGTTCTTGATTCCTTTGGTAAGATGGGAATTGAAAACTTTAGCTCAGGGGTGTCAAACTCAAATACACAGTGGGCCAAAATTCAAAACTGGAACAAAGTCGCGGGCTAAGATGAATATTTATTGAAAAAAAAATCTTCCTCCAGATATAAGAATGAATCTTTTCTTATGGACTCAAATAAGTTTTGCTGGAAAACTAAATATGGAACAAGCAAAGCTTAATAATAAACAATATATATATTAGCTGTATAATACCAGTAGGCCAGCTCTAATAGTAATTTGGTATGGCTTCGCGGGCCAAATGTAATTAGGCTGCGGGCCAAATTTGGCTGAGCTGTGTTAATCATTTATCCCTAATATTTTAGAGAACTTCCCTCTCAGATTACTGGCTTAACTGTGGTTTCTAGGATATTTAAAAGTAGAATGGGAGGCAGAGCCTTCAGCTTCCAGCTCCCTCTCCTGTAGAACCAGCTCCCAGTTTGGACACCCTCTCTACTTTAAAAATTGGTCTTAAAACTTTCCTTTTTGATAAAGCATGCATTTATGGCTGGATCAGGTGACCCTGAATCCTCCCTTAATTATGCTGCAATAGGTCTAGGCTGCTTGGGGCTTCCCATGATGCGCTGTGTCTTCTCCTCTCACCTTTAAACACCTCTCTGCATTTAGTCATTAGCTACTATTAGGCTAATATTGGCTCTCTTTCGGTGTGTCTTTTGTGCTGTCTTCCTCCCCTCACCCCCAGTGGAAAAATGGCTGCCCCTCTCTTAGCCTGCTGGAGGTTTCTTCCTGTCAAAAGGGAGTTTTTCCTTCCCAATAGCGCCAAGTGTTTGTTAGTAGGGTGCTTGTCTGGGTGTTTGGGTTTCCTGGTATTACTGTAGGGTCTTTGCCTTACGATATTAAATGCTTTGAAGCCGCTATTGTTGTTATTAGACATACCTGTCAATAACTCCTTGTACAGCCTCAGTATTCCTGTTGTTTAGGTAAATGTTGAGTTATAGCAATATTAGCTTCTAGCTGTTAGTAATTAACCTTTAACCTAGCTTGTAAATTAGCTAATTAAATGCAGCTGTGAGTATATTTATAGTTTCCCGCCTTTTGCTTATAACAACCTAAGCTTAAGTGTTAATTCACATGACATCATAAGAATTTTACAGCTGGTCTCGAGTATGTTTCGTGAGTCAAATCCGGACGACTCTACCGCGGAGGAATCCAGGCAGCAGACTCCATGTCGGACTTTCCCTTTCTCCGTTCGTGTGAAGCGCTGTTTCATACGTTCAGTGATGCCTCTGCAGCTCACAGACGGAGCGATACAGGAAGATACTACAGTCAGTGGGACCTTATCACCCAAGTGACGTCGTATATGATCAATCCCGACTTGTAATAATCTCAAAGCAAAGAAGCAATTTCAGCCGAATCCCCAGGACTACTCTGGAGGCAACTGTGGGACGGTCAGTCTACTGTGTTGACAAGGTAGGGCAACTGCGCAAATTGTTTTTTCCCCCGTTTCATTCATTCTGCAGTGAGTATTTGTTTGCACCTGTCGTGACTTAAAAACAATCCTCTCTTTGATCAAGTAGTGTTTCGACATCTACTTTTATTAAAACATGCAAACCTGGGATGCAATACTGTTTTTTTTCTCATGTTGTCACATTATTTTCTTCACGATTTACTGTTTAGATTTTTTTTCTTTTTTTTTGTACAAGTTTCTTTAAAACACGGGGCACCTAAAGAGGAAAAAAACAAAAACACAAAACGCCTCATATTTGGGCAAAGTTGTTGGTCTGGACGTTCCCCTTTAGCACGTTGACAGCTGTCCCTACCACTTGCCGCAAGTGATAATGAGGCAAAAATATCCAATCACCCTTTCCGTGCGCCTTGACGGAACAACCGCGTCTGCAATTGCGTATTTGGGATTTTAATATGACGACAAACTGCAGAATTTCTCTTTTACAAGAACACAGTAAACAGTGATTCTTCTAATGAATGCTTGGGGGGGGAATCAGAACATGATACTGCCACTTGTTAGACGAGGATGCAGCAGTGACCATGAGAACATGTGCCATGGCTCTCCACGTCCAGAGGTTTGGGGGTAGCATTCTGGTCACTTCTTAATATCCAGCGCTGAAGCCTTGCAGATGGTGCGAGCTCTACTGGATATTAGGGGTTAAATTCCTTATTTCTATATCCACGTCAAGCTGCTCTGTGGGTTTATTCAGACTATTCTTTGGTCACCCAGTCTCCTTGGAAATTGGCTTTGATGTTGAATGTATTCTGCACTTCTTCCAGCCTGAATGTGTGATTCCAGTCATTAAAACACTGCCTCGAGTAGTAGCCTGTGTAATTCAGCCCATATAAATGAACAACGCTACATCTGTAAATTACTCTCTGGACTAACTCCAGATGTGATGTGAATGGATCACTTGTCTGATGTAAAAATGCACAAGGAGTTTGTCTGCGAAAATAACGCTGCATTAATGGCTCATTATGGATGGGAATGATACACTCAGTAATTCTTGCGTGTGTGGAGGGGCACTGATTTGTTATACATATACATACATATATATGCATGCTACAAGGTAGAGAGAACAGAATTCAAGAATGACAGGAAGGGATCAAGGCTAAGAGGTTAACGAACTATGAAGAAGCCATTAATAGACTCCCAAAATGAACTAAGCACTTAACACACACAGAAATGGGACTATTGACTGAAAGCTGCAGCTCATGCAGATCTGCACATTTTGAGGTCATGTGCTACAGAACAAGAAGCATATTTAATGATTTTTTTTCCCACTCTCCCCGTGTTATCTTCCTCTTTATATTCCTACAGAAATTGAAAGGCATTGCACGCAGACGACCCCCCCCCCCCCCAAAGCACATTCTCTTATCTCAAAGAAGCAGGGAACAATCCCTCAATCTGTTGATCTTCCCTCGGCACATGTGTCACTTTCTTAAACTATAATCATGCACGCTTTCCTTGTTAAACACAAGGGTTCTACATCTGCTCACCTTTCCAACCCAGTCCTCCTTTACAGACCCTCTGCAACTCATATTACTGACTGCAGTGGCTTCATACCACCATGGAGGAGGAGGAGTGTCTGAGTGATCATTAGCAGCATTTCGTCTTTGCCTGTCAGTTAATGATGGACTCGGGGCTGAACTCTAAACCCTATCCTTCATTAGCTACCCTTTTGTCTTGATGCTGTTATCAGCTCTAGTAGCATCCCCTTGTGTCATTTCTACATATTCAGCAAAGTCACAGAAAATGTAACTGACTGAACTGTGGATGATTTGTAGCCATTACTTTGTCCACATCAGTAATCGAATGGCTTGTCCTTGTCGGACTGTATTTTTGTTGATCCTGTTTAGTTAAAATCGCGATGATATCTGCTCTGCTACAAAAAAATACGTTTAAACACTTCCTCGGTCACTGCTTTCTGGGTGCTGCCAGTGGAATATTAAGAATGCTTTCGAGGTGAGATAATGGATGCTGAATATCTGTACTTTTCACACTTCTTCCTTCCTCACCAAGTCTCACTCAATCATGCAAATAATGCTGTCCAGATGTAAATGTATCATCATCGCGGGCAGACCAAACAAGCTTGCTTTCTCTTCTGCATGAGATTGCCTCTTAAGCCACGGAAGCCTGAAATTAAAGTGCAATTATTAAAGGGGCCATCAGATTTAAGAAGCCTGGGGGGCAGAAGGGAGGCTTGGACTAGCAGTGGGACAAATATTGCTTTCTGACACCTCAAGGGTTTACAATAAAATTAAGGCACAATGACGGCAAAGAAGATTTTGCAAAGCACAGTGATGACATAGCTGTTACTCATGACTTGTCGCCCCTCAGGTTTTATTAGTGAAGACCAGAAGTCACAGTCATATCATAATGATGGTTGTGGATGACAGCAATGATGAGTCAGCTATTGCCGGATTCTCTGATGTGCTATAAATCCAGGCTGTGTTCTTTTTTTCATTCTTGAATTTTAATTACACTGCACTGTTCAGCAGCGCCGAGCCCTGTCGGGTCTCACTACGTCTTGCTGCTCGTCTGTGGTTCACTTATGAGAACAGGACATCTTCTGTTTCCGAGGTTTCACTCTGGCAATAAGAAGACTTACCAGTTTGGCTTGAGGGGACTCTTCAAGCACTCCTGCTCTACCCGTCTAATCTCAGCCTGCGCACTTTCTGGTGCTGCTTAGATTGGTCGTATGGGAGCTGTCAGCAGGCCAATTTAATTTCTTCAGCTTTTCTCCTGTGAATCTTTTTTAAATCAGGAGAAAAAGCTGTGTGTTAGCTCAGAGAAGCTAAAGAAAGTTATTTTTTAGGATCAAACTACGAACTTAACAAAGACGGTTGCATTAGAGACTGTGCACAGGCCCTCGTGAAGAATTGGTGTGCCATCACCAGTGAAACGGGACACACTGTGCTTGATGCTGAATGAACGCATACTCGGTGCACGGCAACCTGTACTAATACTACACTTCTGAGATTATCTGTCTATTGGCAGGGGTTAAGCCACAAAACGCTTTCTGCTTCCTAGGATTTGCTCGTAATAGCATCTCTGATATTGTACATTTTTTTTCTATATTCTTGAATGCCATAATTCATTCGTTTATCTGAGACAGTCACTCAGCTGACAAATATAATTAATTTGTGGGGACCCTGATATCAGACTGCAGCTAAAGCATGAGGCAAAGTATACTGACACTGATAATGTCACTTTGGTGGATATACAGTGCTCCGCTGTGGGATTTCTGTGTGTGCAGTAGCTTTTGAGTCACTGATGAGGAGCATTGTTTGCCATTACAGCTTCCCTTCATGCCTGCTAATGCCTGCAGGTCACACTACAGTCTAAGCCCCGGGCTGCCTTTCTTTCTCACTGTTGACAGCATGCATCTCTATACACATTTAAAAACACAAAGTAGCGTACAGTGTATCTTTTTACATCCAATCTGCAGTCCAAGGCGTTTAATGTTTGAACGATGTGACACACACACACACACACACACACACACACACACACACACACACACACACACACACACACATATATATATATATATATATATATATATATATATATATATAGTTAGTATAAATGTAGTATAAAGACATACATTAGACCTGCTTTTGCCAGGGAACAATGTCAATTCTGATGGGAGAGTGAGAGAAATGGGGAGAGAGTCATGGTCGTTTGCCTTCCAGCTATTGCAGCATGCTCCAACTGTGAAAGGCCACTGCCATTGTTGGGTAACATAATCCACCAGGGAGGCCTTCAGCCAGACACTGGGGAGGACTACCTATACACACTCTCCCTCTCTTTCTCTCTAAGTAAAGATGCATATCCCTTTCAGTGGTGGAATCAGCTGCTGAATGCTAAGCAATTCTGAAGTGTTACCGAACTTGTGTGTGAGGTTACAGCACACACATCCCATTATTGTTGCCATTCTGAGCAGAAACACTCCGCTTGCTACTTGCCTCATTTAAACTGTCTTTTGATAGTGGTAGATCCTGATACTCTCCGGTGATGGCGAGCTGAGGGCCTGGATTAAGAAATACAGACATGCAAATGCCTCCTCTGTGAAAATGTACCCCATAGATAACTGTCTGGATGGTTTTAATCAAGTGTTGTGGAGTGTGTGGTCACCTACGGAATGGATACCAACAATAATGTGTCTGTGAGAAACAGATTTGTGGTTTAATAGTGGAAGCAGGAGCTCACAATGGATCACATATAGACTCGTGCTTACAAGTATTGGGTTGCTTGCAATCTAATTAGCATGAATGTTTTCCCATCATAGAGGCCACATACTCTGGATGCATATGCACATTAGATAGAAGATGCATTTGATATGCACTTGAGGGAGATATACGTGATTCAGGCTGCCCGATTAAAATATTATTTATCTATCCGTACACAATTTAATCCTTTATCAGAAGATAAACAGAAAATGTAGTTGGCTAACTACTTTGATTTCATTAAAAAAAGATAATCAAATTCTTTGGTTTCAGTTTTCAATTTCATTCCTAATGCATGCCATAAAGCAATGGAAACATTATGTTATGACCTCAGTGGTACTAGATTTGAGAAGCTGAATCCACTATATGACTGCCTGTACTGGAGAAGGACATTAAATTTGATTCTCCTTAGCTCTGGGTGTGTGTAAACCAAATGTAAGAAGGTTTAACAACCGTGTAGTCTCAGGGGAAAAAACACAAAACAACAACTGCTGCACAGCTGTTATGCTTTCTGTATATGTAATGTGTAAATCTATGCCAAAAAGGAGTCTATTGAGGGAATCCTTCTTGTATTCTGTATTCCAACTTACAAATGTAATTATGTAATTTTTTTACAGTGCCTAAAGAATGCCCATTGATCCTAAATTCATATTGAATATAATGACTCAAAACATTTTAAATTGGTAGATTAGATTTCTCCACAGGTAAACATGAATCAGGAATTTGAGAAA